CCTTTTATGACGTCTGATTTGAAAAACCGGCGCCGATTTTCACCACTCGGGCTTCTCTTCAATTTCTCGAGAACTTCTTCAGAGGCTAGGTTCGCCAAATTTCACAGATACACAGCTTAAGGTACTAGCTTCCAAATGGTATAGTAGCCCGCTGCTCTATCCCCTTTGCTTTTCTGCCATTCCTCTATATGTGTCGGCCACTTTGAATGGGATGACCTAATAGAACTCCCATAAAGTCCTGCGATGACGGATATCAGGACGCTCCACTGTGACGGTAGAAGAATGGGTGGATTTGCGCACTGCACATGGTCATGCATAAAATTTTATGATAGATCTCCCCATTGCAACGTTAGCCTTGCGACGTAAAGACTTTGAAAAAGGTTGCGCGTAGCAGAAGGCGCGTCGTACTTTGGGGAGCTCCAGCGAGGGAGACGTATTTGCTTGCTGGAAAATGAGGAGATCGCATCAAAGGAGGATGTTCTGAGGGGGAGGGAGGTCGTGTTCCACCAAATCTCTCCCCAACGACAGGCGTGCCCAGACGCGTCATTAGCACTATGGCTTTTTTGTTCCTCTTCCTATGCATATTCTAGTATTGAATTATTGGGCCACCTTTAAAAAAATGGAATCGACTACTTATTTATTCATTTATTCAGTAATTGAGTAATGACGCCCGTTCAAGAAACAAAATGAGGATGCAAAATTCCAGGACAACGAGACAAGATAAAGAAGAAGAAAGAAGATAGAGGAAAGATAAAGACAGATAAAGAATAAAATCCAGTGACAACATGTATGCACTAACCATAAGCACCCTATATTCTGGGGTATAGGGCGCACCGATGTATCCAGCGCACGTTCGCTTCTCACGCCGCGGATACCTTTTGTGATTTCCTTTTACCTTGTTTTTTTTCCCACTTCACTTATTCATTTAACATGACCTTTATGGAACAATGAAATTGCTTGGCAACCAGTTGAAGGGCTGAAATTCAAAGGAACAGCTGAAAGTGTGTTGTGTGCTTAGGGCGCAGTTTGTCGACGGGGGGGGGCATTTTGCACTTTTGCTACTTCCCATCGACGTGTCGGCCTATCTAGACAGCCTCTTCTCGAGTTGACAGGTTTTAACATGATGGCTTGACTACCTTGTTCCAGCTTCACAAGAGTTCACAGGTTTCGCCAGAGTGAGACATGTAAACCGGAACTGAGGGAAGCAATGATAGTACAAAATGCCCCCCGTGTCGACAAACAGCGCCGTACAGCATCACACAGTTACAGGCAACAGCAGTGCCTATCCTATGCGGACGCTGCGTAAAACTTTTTGAGTGCGCCTTATACTCAGGAATAGGGCTGCTTATTCAATCCGGCAAGCGCCCAAAAAGCCTTGGATGGATAATGTCACTCGAAAGGCTGTACATTCTTTTTTCTGGAGGGTCCTAGCCATGTGGCAAGGTTCCAACAACTCAGTACATGCCAGCTTATTCGTCAAAAAAGGCAGGGGATTACGCGTAGGACAATGGTACCGCAGGTACCCCTTACAACGCGACCTCTTTTTCAAGGTGAGGGACTTTTTGCCTGGTACCAAAGGTCCCCCGCGCAAAACACGGACTCAGCGGTAGTGAACGACCTCGAGTGAAAGGGCGCAGCAAGTAGCGCAATTGGCTATATCTAGGCGCCTTGGTGGCCGTCCGGCAGCGCGGACGAGTATGGAGATGTGGGCATCACTACCCTGCAGCCCAGTTCCCGTGCACTTTTGACTGGAGAAAGTGGCACGCTGAAGACCCGTTCTCCCACACTTTGCAAGGACCATGACCCTCGGAAGTAAGGATGCAATTCGTCCTCGGTTAACAAGCTAGCCCCATTTTGACAGTGAAAAAGTCACGCCTTATGGTTGGAGCACAGAGCCCCCCCCCTCTTTTCCAGTGACGAACGGAAAAGTATGAAGAAGCAATCGTATTTCATCGCGGATCCTCGTTACTAGGAAGCCTATGAAGAACACATAAATCAAAGAGCTTGGCGAGTGGAGATTCGGAAATTCGAGAAGTCAATTCAATTCGCTAATTCAGAAATTTCAGGGGACCACGCGACCGAAGACCATTTTTCTTGCGAAATTATCTCGAATTTCCCCTTGGAAGCAATATCTCTCGGGAAAAAGGCAACTGTTCAGTTTTCAACCAAGTAAGTCTGTATATGCGTATCGGTTGTTCGAATATATGATAGGTGCAGTCTCGTTCGGTGCTGGTGATGGGGCTGTCGGGTGAGGTGGTTTTGGAGCGATTCCAAAGCCTTCTTTCACCAGCTGTTGGAGCAAGTAAGCGATAAAGACGTATCATACCAGTCGTAAGCCGACAAAGACGTATATACCAATTCATATCAGTCGTTTTCTCCACCAGTTGTTGTCGTTTACCCCCCCCCCCCCGCTCCCCATTTAATCAACGGCTGAGAGAACGGGCCCTGGCGATGAGATCAAACAAAGTCCCACTAAGCACGCCTCCTCACCGCAGCGACACACTGCGAAGATATATATATAAGTAAAACTTTATTAAAACTTGTCTGTTATAGGACGCGGAAAGTCAATGTCTATAGTCTCACAGTCACTTACCAGCTTTACCAGCAGGTAATCGAAAGCCACTTATTTCTATGAATTCGATGCTAGCTGACTCGCCCACGCGGTTACTACTGATTAGTAATGGAGTGCGTATGATTGCAACCGAAGGTGGTCGGCAGAACCTTCAGGAACGGGTCGTGTTATCTAAATGACAACGAGTGGGCAGCAGCAGGCAGGCCAAATAAAACTGTCACTGGCCTTATGTTTATATGATTATGTCATCCCTTCAAGGTTAAATGAATGATGATTGCATTCAACCTGGAAAACAGATGATGCTATATTTATGGAATTTTTCCCGAAGAATGTTTTTTCATTATCAAAAGTGTTTGTTAGCATTCTGAGAAGTGGGAATTCCGTCCTGCTCTCAAAGCCACTAGGAAGGACCACTGGCAGGGCGAGGTGCAATCCGTACGATGAGCCAGGTGAGAGACAAGCTGGAGCTACTTGTGGCGCCCACAAATACAGTCTGCGAAGCGTGTGGCGTGTTTTAAAAGCGCCAGCAGGCGACCAGAGCTGTAGAGTACAAGGCTAGCGCAGCCAAACCACCACCATTATCGGTAAGGATTGCGGGTCGGCGTCGCTGCGTAGCTGTTCTCCATCACACTGTTATACGCCTTGCCAGCAGTAAGCCTGTTTATCGTTGAGGAGTGTATTCGCAAATTGATGGGAGCAACTTGGTAGGCGCCACTCACCAGCGCTCCCACGTTCTACATCGTGCTCTCATACGCACGAGTCCTACTGCAGTCTTGGTTGCTGCGGATGAAGAGACGTGTCAGGCAGGAAGTGTTTGCCCGGTGCCAAACCCGTTGTTCACCAGTTTTTGCAGCGAGCAAGCGAAAAAATTGTATCATCGCTTACCCGCTTCAACAACTGGGGCTGAACGGGTTCGGCGCCGTGCCAAAGCCATCGCGTTGGACCCGCCCCTTCATCCGCAGTGAACTAGGATCCTACCTGGGTGACAGCGTCTGGGCACTGAATCAGGGTATCTCGTTGCGCCAAGGGCTGGGCTACATTTGTCGCTTTTCAAGAAAGGTGGTTAGGGCCTCACAAATGCCGTAAACTCCACTATGTGGTTACACTTCGTTCAAGATACCCAGTGTTCCGCTGCTCCCGGAAGGGATCAAACGTGACGTATCACAGTTCCGAAGAAAGATGCGAAACTCGTGCAGTAACAAGTGACTCTGCTTACAACGGGTCTTCCTCGAGGGCTAGATCCTGTGCTCGAATCCGCTCAGACGAACAAAGCCAATCATCACGAACAGTAGGGGGTCTCATAGGCTAGTAAATAAGGATCAAATCTCTAACCCAGATGGTCCCCTAAAGGGAACGATCAGTGCCGACAGCGTTATCCTCCACCCGATTAGACTGGGAGGATAAAACTCAGCCTGTGATACCGTCTCGTTTACAATTTTGTTTCGAGTGTGGGATGCTTTCCTCTAGTTCGCTGCGAATGAGGGGGCGTGTCAGGCAGAATGAGTGTGCCATGGCGCCAAACCCGTTCTCTGCCAGTGAAGCTGGTATGCGAGAGCGATTGGTAGAAAACGAGTGATACGAACGATATGGTAGAGTCTTGCCACTTGCCCGCTTCAACATTCGGTAGAGAACGGGTTTGGCACCGCGCCAAACTCGTCCCGCCTGACACGCCCCTTCGTTCACAGCGAACTAGACAATCCACTTCATTTGCATGCTTTGTGCGACTCGCATCGACTATTGGTGTGTGTTCTAAGTTGTTCTACGTCAAATCAATTAGGCTTTGGTGCAACTGTCGCGCACGGGGCGATGCCCTCTCGAATTACGTTTTGTACAGTCTTTATCGGAGCCCAACAAGAGGCGTGGCTCTGAGAGCAGAGAGCTGCAATAGACACGATTCGGCACGGCAGGACATGGCCATCGCCGGAACACCCCTTGCTGGGCTCCGATAAGGACGATATATCGTAGTGCGGTAGCAAAACTAGTACTGTACCATTTTGTCTTTCCACAGTCACTTGATAAAATTTCACTCATCAAATGAGGTGTCAAAACAGCGAACAAAAGCGATATGGATTGGTCACCGGATGGAAAAAATGACGAAAAAAGAAACAATAACAAGAAGAAAACGATAGATATATCTCATTTGATTAGAATATGATAGATACATGAAAACGATATGGGGAAACAAATATCCGTATATCAATACACCACACTGAAGCCTAGACCGGTGAAGGTCCTATAGATTTCTTATAAACAACAAAGGCACCGTTTGCGTTTGTCATGTAGGAGGAAACAGTCAACCATTGTGCTTTCGTCATTGGCGCGTCTTTTCTATTGAGAATTAACCGAAGGATGGATGAATCATTGGGGAAGGCACACTGGTTGACTGTCTCCGCCTATGTCTCCACTCATACAAACAGCTTGGAGTGTTTTAAACTTTACTCCGAGGTCGAACAGCATGCCAAGTCGCCAGTGGCGGACCTTCACCACTGAGAGCTCGTTTCCAGTGACCGAGTTCCTGAAAAAGGGAGAAGTATTGTTTTTTTCATCTTTCCACTCAGACCAGAAATTCTCCTGGGCGTGAGCTTAAGAGAAGAAGCACAGCATTGAGACAACAAAAATGACATGTTTGACTCCGCCCATAAGGTTAATGTGGAAGGTGCGCTCGAGAAGATCAGTAGCTTCACCTTTTTATGTCAACGTATTTTCCAAAAATCGCACATTCTGAATTCATCTTGAAAGAAGCTTACCTTTCCGCTCGTTTTCGGCCCAAGTGTTACGTGACCGATGCTCTTGCAATATTCATCGGTACCGCATACAATACTCAGACGTAAATGGCACTTCTGTAACAATTCAGAAATCAGAAGAGAAAGTTCCATCCCATTTGATTGTTGCTGATCTGTCCTTTGCGCTATTGAATAAGAAAAACTATGAGACCCTCTTTGGCAAGATGCACGCTAGTTTACGCATTACCTGGGGGTCAGAGCGCGCCCGGGCTAACAATGCCCGTTCTCTCTGGTACTAACTGAAAACATAGTCCGCGATTATCGAATGCCCGAAAATGGGCAGAAACTCTCAATGATTGCGTCTTCTTCACTGGTGCACCATCGTTATAGAAGGGGCGCACGTATGATGAGAGTTCCGAGACTACACCTACTGCGCTGCCAGTCCGATTATCGCGGAATATGCCTACTGCTGGTTTGAGTGATGATGCACGCGTTGGGCAAATCCACTTTGAAGCGGGCTTCACAATCTCGAAGGGATCTGAATGCATGGCGTTTAATAGGCGCAGTACTTAATAGACAGTTCCCGGGATAAAGTGTCATGGTTAGTTGCTGTTCAATTATGAAACTTTAGCCGATAAGTAGATCCTAAAGCAGAAGAAGCAAGGAGAGTCCTCAAGAACAACACAAACAAAATCGCTCCCTGACAGTCACACCGCCCTGCGCTCCTTGTTACCCCTGACTGACCCAAATCGGTTTCTCCCCATCTCTCAGTGTAGATTCATCAATTGCAAATAAAAGAATACGAGAACAACAAAAAAACATGATAAAAAATTTCAAAACTAAAACTAAGCGTCCGAATTTAGGATACGGTAGCGTGCATCTTTTAGTGTTGTTGCACCACGACCGTGCAGATTGCGGCTTGCATTTTGACTGAATGTGCCTCCTAATGGAAAAAAAAATGTAAAGGAGAGCAGAATTACTGATGCATCAGCGCGGTCAGCGAAAAGGACATGCACTTCTGATTAATGTCCACCGCCCTAACAAAGAACAACTGGGCAGAAGGCAGTCAGAAGGCATCTAGCAAGTGGGCGGTCCAACTGGGCAGGCGTTAGATCTAGAACTTTCGGCTTCGCTCTCTGTGAAGTCGCGAGAATGGGCAGTCTCTAGCTTGGGGACTGGACTACTTGCGCAAGGATGGACGACCATGTACTACTTGAGCGCGGGGCTGTCTTTAATGGAGCTTGTTGAGTTTTTGCAACCAAAGTGGCTCACTTGTACCATTTCACAGCTTCACACGAGTTTAGATGTCTCTTTAAAATGAAGCCTGTTAGGTGGTATGAAAAAGTTAAAGGAATTAGCGATCGTGGGAATGCCCTCAGGGCCGAAGGTAGTTTAATATTTCAAATGACAGAGGCCCTGAGGGGAGCTTGCGCTCACATTTCTGCACTTCTGCCTGTGAAGGGATGTAAAGACCAGAATAAATTGAAAAAATTGTAGAAAACAAGAACTTTTCTCACCAGTACTCGACTCCTCGATACGGTGAAAGGAATACATTCACCGATGTCGGCAGCTGCCGTATCAAGTCAAAGTCCGTCGAAGTCTATCTTCTTAACTACCTCTTGTCCTTATCGGCCTGGTACCAGAGATGAATCGCGAACGGAATACTTCTAGAAAATATGACGGGATGGAGTTAGCGGCATTGTGGCTAATGATGTAAGCAACGTAACCATAGCCGTAAGCCCCGCCGCACAGTTGGGCGTGGCATGCTGCTAAAAGTTAGCGGTCTCGTTGGGGAAAAATTCATAATTCGGCTCAGAGCAAGCTCCGAGACGGTGGAGAGAAGCGGGCTAAGGTTTGGCAAAGGATTGACCCAATCGATATGAAGGAGACACACCCGGAAATGGGCGGGGCATCTCGATATGGGAGGTGCTTCCACAAATGTCCAGGTAACTGAGTTTAGGAGACTCTCGCCCAAAAAAAGTCCATGGCGAAGGACAAACATCTGTGGAGGGTCCGCCATATCTGAGGTGTGCTATGACCGCCCACAGTGGGAGGGGCGTGACCTCAAACGTGAGGTGTTAGTTAAAAAAAAAAATGTAATTTGCGGTCCCTAGGCGCACTAGGACGACACGGAAAGTGGATTATGGTCCCAAAGCGGTTGTCCCGTTTAGAAGGTGCCAAGATACGCCGCGTTGTTGGGCGGAGGCGTGCCACCGGGAGTAGGGCGGAGTCAGACATAGATCCATAAGACGATTCCAAAACACCTCAGAAACCGAGAAAAAAAAAGTGCGATTCAGATCAGCACAGGGTCGCCTTTTGAAAGCCATTGCTTGGGGCACAAACCAGCTGTGGGCGCGATGGCCTGCTCGAGGTGGCAGAGTCGGTCGAAAAAAATCTGTAAAAGAGTCAGTTTCAGAGCACTATAGATACCGCGACAAATGACGTTAGGTCACCACTTGAGAATGTGTGGTGGAAGGCACGAATCAGCGTACTTATTTCTTACTGAGCTTTTAGAGAGCAGGTTCCGCCATACTCTTAACCACCGCGTCATAGGTATTAGATTCCAGTCGGCTGATGCCAGCGCTCCTCCTCCTGTGATACGGCCCAAGTTGGTCGGACGGGCACGGCTTCGCCACACATTCCTTCCCCAGCTATTCTCTCGCCTGTGCCCATACGCACTTTAGTACCACTCCATACTCAGTAATAGGTGTGTCGTGGAAAAAAGAAGGGGCAGGGCATGATTATTTGGCGAAAAGCTCTAGCCATTAGCACAGAAAAAAAACCTGATATCAGTGAGCTCTAAGAAATATGTGCAAGAAAGTACGCCACGGCGAAGCCGGCCCGCCCGGCACAGCCAGCGCGCCCCCGTGCTCAGAAGGAGGCGCGCCGGCGTCAGCGGCGAGCCGACTGGTAAAAAAAATGGACTAAAGTAAAAATAGTACCAAAAAAGAAATAAGAGCACTTGCTTTTGTAGATATTTGAAAGCATCCTAATTTTTGACACGATCACCGTCAATCGATCGTGGGCGAATGAGGCAAGGAAGAGAATTTCGCCCAATTTCACATTTTCCGTTGACTCGTCACTTGGGCTCTGAATGAACAGATGACGCCGATGAATGAAAAGAACGTTGTGCGAATCAAAGGAACGGTCCGCGATAACCTATGAAAATGCAAGGGTTATGTGGGAAGGTAGAGCGGTCCGGAGTGGATAACACTGTGCCAGTTTCGCAGAGGAAAGTTGTACGGTAAAGGAATTGAGGCGCAAAGTTGCTCAGTGGTGCAATCCTTTTCAGTGACTCCGCCCTCCAGGACTCCGCCCTACATAGGGTGGAACGGGCCTGCCCAGCTAGAAGTAATGTTCCCGGGCAAGTATTCATAGTTGGATGCCATTCAGTTCTGTTGTAGGGTAATAGGGATTAACACTACCTAAAGCGAGACCATTACCACTAGGCCACGATGGCACTGACCAGTGATCGAACAGCAGCGCTTACGAGACAAAACCGGGATTTCGCAAACATTGAACGCCCAGGACCGGTCGGGAGGTCCCCGTAGACTTGATGCTGCTTTCGTAATCAGCATTCGAGACTCTATCGATGTCCCAAGGTCTCCATTCAAAGTTCCATGGGAAGTTCAAAAACCATTCCCTTGTCAGACCTTTTCCACCCGTTTTGACCGACAGCATCCGTTGAGTTTTCAGTCTCTGATGAGCCGTAGGAGCCCCAACCCCACCCAAGCAAGAAAATGCATTTCAGGAAGGCCCACAAAGAGAGTTAGTGATATATTGAAACGGATGTCGCTCACCTTCGATTTGTTTGCCAGTAAAGCCAGTTCTACTGGAGTATCTCGTCCACTGCCCAACGACAAATCCTGCAATGTTCTACTTTAAAGAGCCAAATTCGCACTAGTACTCCGTAGTAGTAGAAATACAGCTGATATCGTCACAATCTGGCCGGCGGTGTAGGAAGGCAATGGAGAGAGCTCGGGTAATACTGGGTACGGGACTGGAGATTCGAGTGTGCCATCAGAAAAATCGCAGGCTGCCATCGCGTGCGCGACCTTCGCCACCAGGATAAAATAGATTTTCACACAAAAAAACTCAGGTGGATTGACTGGGAAAATAGTTCGCGCTCAGAATATTCTGTCGCCCAACAACTCGAATCTCCCCATGCGCCCCGCACCTCCGAAATTATACTACCCTTAATCGTATTTCTGGCTTGCTGCAACTATACTTTGCGGATTGGTTCCGCCCCCGCTGCTCGAAAACAACTGTACAAGCAAAGCGATCTGAAAAAAAACTTCCGTTCCACAAAGAAGAGAAGCGGACCAAAAACATCGCTATGACACACACTTTGTTAAGGTCAGCTTTGCGAACGCATTGTTGATAGATGGTGTTGTAGTCGATGAATGAAGATGGTGTACTCCTAGCCTGGAACAGGCAGCTTTCAAAACAAAAACAGCCGTAGTCAAAACTAGCCGAGGCTACCCAAAGTCAGCCCGCCTACCTCGGTACGCCAAAGAGGTTTAGGATGAGGGAGAAGGAAGAAAAGCATCCAAATTTGCCCATAATCGTTGTATACGTCCGAAAGATGATGAAGTTGTACGGAAAGCATTTGGGTGGCTCTAAAAACACAATGGTTGAACAGTCTGCGAGCAAACTGCTTCTCAATATCTTGGAAAAATAAAAAATAGACCAAACAACTGTTCATGAAATAAATGAATTATCCAAACAACTGTTCATGAAATAAATTAAATTATCAATGTAATCAGAAGTATGAATCGATAGAATGAGATCAGAATCAGTGGAATATCGGTGCCATTATTTTTTGATAAACGATGGATAAACACAATTTTCAAAGAGGTTGGGGCAGTTCTGCTTGAGGGGCGGGGGGGGCACTTTACACATCAGCAGCTTCCGAGAACCATCAAGTAGAGATTTGTGGAATCTCATGAAGGTAGGTAGTGATACCAGTCAAAGTGTCCACTTCTTTACTCTTGTATACAATACTTGTCAACTCCTGTAAAGCAATGAACACAACAATGGGAAGTATCGAAAGTGCAAAGGTTCCCCCCCCTCTCCACTCCAGCTCGAATCGCGCTATGATTTGTGATTACAAGAGAATACGGTAGCTGCACGGATCGCTCTCAAAATTGAACATAGTATTGGACCCTGTGTCCAATGAAGAAGAAGAAAAATGAATTGTTGAAAGAGAAACGTTTGGAGAAAACCAGTAGAAAATACGGACGTAGAAGGAAAAATAAAAATATAGTTTCTGAGAAATACAAATAAAAACGCCAGTCTCTAGTATGCAGAAACGAGGAATTATGAAAAATAAAAACAGAGTTGGAGAATATTAAAAACAATATTATGTAGTAAATAATAATAATAATAGTAATTAAATATTAAAATAGAATAAATATTGAAAAATATATAAACAATAGAATTTTGTAAATATAAGCACTACAAAAACGTAATGGAATGAATAAAAATGAAAAGGTAAAGCTCACTCGTCATATTTCAATGTGAGATTCGCTGTAGGCACTTCACGATTCACCTCCATAATCGATGAAGCGGAACTGTCGAGACTTTCCGTGGAGATGCCTCGTCGTAACTGAGAGGCAGAAGGTAGCTGTTCATCTGAAATTAATGAATAATGTTATTTTATTGTTTTGATAAATGATGGAAATAGTATTAAATAGTCATAATGATGGTGATAATGGTGGCTAATGGGCTGTTTAATAATAGTGATGAATTAATGATGAAATGATAATAATGCCAATTTGGTTCAATCACTGCAGAGGAACAATAATTTCAGGCTAAATTTATGTTTCTCTAAAATGAATATAGAGGAAAAATATAGAAATAATTCCAAAAATCAGAAATGTCTTGAATGGTGCAACGCTCACGCTAATACAGAGGGGGATGGGGCAGTACATGGCTCTAGAAAAACTTTCGACGGTTGATTGTCCTGTTTCACGTGCACTATCCATTCACAACGTAGGGGACTCTTATCGGGCGTGGTAGTACGTACGTGACGCTTTGGGGGGGGGGTCGTATCTGAATCCCACCCTCCCCTCCTCCGAGCTCGCGTAGTCAAAAGTTTCCTATAAAACACACTATTTCGCACAGCCAAACTATAAGGTGACCTCTGACGCCCCCCTCTCCACTGATACGAGCAGCACAGCAGGAAGAGGTCGTAATTTTGTTGAGTTGCATGGAGGGAAGGGAGATCGCATTTGCTTTTGGAAAAATATGTTTTTTCGTTGTCACCTTTTCGGGGGTTTTCCTATTTGAATGCGTTTATAGTGTTCCTTCGTCTTGCTCGAACCTCCGAGAAAAGGTAGGAAGTTGAATAAAATGTAAACAAGATAAATAGGTTCTACCATATCTACGCTTCCCTGGTATAACAGTGCGCTAATGACGGGGGGGGGTATTTTGCAAACCATTTTGTTCAGCGACGGGGAGAGGGGGACGTACTTTTCAACCATTTTGTTCAGCGACAGGAAGATAGGGACTGATCGGCCTTCTGGCTTCAGTAGTTCAATCGGTCAGACAAGAAAAGCGCTGCAGCACTTCTTAGACCGTCAGGTAGATTGACATGAAATAGCTCAGTGTTAAAAAACACCACATGTGATTTCCCCCGCAGCGCTTGCAAATTTCCGCAAATGGCTTGCCCACAGTATAGCGCGCATGCCACCACCAACAAAGAAAAAACCATTCAAAATTACTAATATCGATCTTTCTCATGAAAAAAAATTTGATTGTGTCGCTTAGCAAAACAAGTTCATAACAAGAATGTACTACTAGTTACAAGCGCGTCAAGCCTAAAAACGACTCGTGTAAGCCAACAAAGCTGAAATTGAACTTTTCAAAATTTTACATAAATTTTATTGAGGGTCAATATTGCACGGCGAAAAACCGCACACGTTTGTAAAGTTTCTATTTAATAATGGAATGCTTACCTGTGCTTTCTTGCATTAACTCAAATACCGCGTGATGAAAGCACTTCAAAAAGTAAGAAGTCTCGCTTCATTTGCGGTTCGCTTGCCCCTCCCATCGTTCGTGAAGCCTCCTTCATCTAATTGCTAGTTCATCATTCACTAACAATGGCCTTTCTACCGCGATGTGGACGAATTGAAGAAGTAAAGTAAGTAATCTTCCAAGAAAGCAGGAAAAATGACTCATTTGAAAAAACCTCCTCGATAATAAGGACGTTGAAATTCCCGCAATTGAGATTGAAAGGCCCTTTATTCTCGAAAAAAATGGTGCAGAAGTGCAAGGCACACTGCACATCCTGCCGTTGAAACTACTCAAGCGATATACGACCCTCTCCCCTCAAAAAGTCTCCTCTGGTCCGACCACCCTCGCCCCTTCCCCACCACTCATACTAGCTACCACCTTTACCGCTCTTCAGGAGTTTCAGGAGGCTTAACTGCTCAGCTATTAGAAACAGTGGAGTGTCTGAATCGCTGACTGCCCAGTCACGCCCTTCTCATCTCCAAAATAGGGACGCTGATGGATAAAACTGCAGCCGCGTTGATCAATCTCTTTCTGCGATGCGCCACGCATTCTACTTCCGTTCAGAATCGCAGCGGCTTATCGAGTGTAATATGGCCTGTACAATGAATTGCAGGAACCGGGAATATCGAAAAGGCGAAACGCCCCTCCAAGAAATCGTCTGCGCTGCCAATTCACATTCGATAACAGTTTAGAGGGAGGGGGGGGAGGTCAATAACAATGACAATGATGTTAACAGTTTTTTCTCATTTGATAAAAAATGAACGGTGGATTGTACTTATTCCGACAGTGAACTAATAGTAAAAGTTGAAGTTGTCGTTACTGATCGATTCCTTTTGAATGCGCCACGATGCCTAATTACATTAGAACGTGTGGCACTTGAATGCAAATTGGCCTGTAGAATGTTGGGAGCTACCAACGCAGGTGGAGAAGCATTCTAAGGGGATCTTGTGAGGAAACTGCGATTATCCAACTGAAGCTGGGAACGCACTAGGAACATCGTTCACCACGTAGGAGCACCTCTATCGTTAGGCTACCATTAACGACTTTTCATTCCTTTGTGTTGTCGCAGTTTTTTTGCAATGAACAATCCATATATAAATGCTTCAAATAATAAGCCCCTTTGAGTGCTGGACCAACCGAACGCCAGTGGTAGCGTAATGGTTAGCGCACTCGCCCGGCAAGGTGAGGAGCGGGTCGAATACCGCCCGAGACTCGGATTTCCCTCATAAACTTTGCAGGCTTTTCTCTATAAGTTTGTGGTAACCTTTCAACACTCCTACAGTGACCCGGACTGGTCCTGTTTCAGTCCTTTTTGTTTTGTTTGTCCTTTCTCCGCTTTTTTCTGAGCCAGGTTGCCTTGGCCGAGATAGGTACACTCAATACCACAGCGGGCATAGATCATTACGGTAATCGCGATCAGCGAACTTAACGACACATTCCAGGCTTGTCACATGGCAGTACCACTTTATTCACTGAGACTTTCACATTGGTGTGCTTTCCTTCTATGATTTCCTAAGAGGAAAGGCACACTAATGGCAAACGCGCAATGAGCCAATGACATTCTCCCCCCCCCCTTCCCTCCTCATCACACCAGTAAGCTGGAATCTCTTCATACTAACCAGATGTCTCTCTGAACCCACGAAAACCCATTATGGGGCATTTTTGTGGCAGGATCGCCCCCACTCCTCGACTGACGTCAAAATGCCGTTAGTTTTTGTGTCGAGCCCGGAAGTTCCAATTATCGCAAACCGATTTTGACTTTTACCTGTTGAAAATGCCTTGTTAGGGAGGGATCTCTTCCGTCTCAGTGCAGTATATAGGAGGGCCATAGAAACGTCTATATCGGGACTAGTTGCTAATTTGAATGCGAGAGGTGCCTTCTCAACAACAACAACAGCAACTTCACGCACTGCAGGATTAATTTCATTACATTCAGAGAAGTTTCCATTACACTATGAAATTTTCTAGAAGTTCTAGAGGTGTGGGGGAGAAGTTCTACGAAAAAGTTCAGCAACATGAGATTAAGCATACCTACCGGAAATCCGTCGTTCAGGTGTAACCGGCGTGAGATGGACTTCAGGTGAAGCAGTTTCCACTACCAATTGACATTCAATATCTTCACTTGGGACAAGATATTGCCTTGCTTCTTTCTCGTCCTGAATTGGCACTTCAGTAAGTTTATGGCGCTATAAATCATTGAGCTTAATCCTTAATCTTCGAGTCAGCACCACGCCCATGAAGGAGATTAATGTGGGCATAAAATCGATTGAAAAAGTCGGTAGTTGGCTGCGAGGGGGACCTTTGCTCCTATAAACGTGCCAAGCCATTTTGTGGAGTCTTGTCAACGCCTGTAAATCTACGAAATGGCACCAGCTTCAGCTGCACCACCGGGGCTCCCAAGCCTCCTGGTTTTCTCGCACCTTTTAGCACTAAATGTAAATGCCGTTGAGGCATACAAAAAATGGAAGAAATGGTGCGTGCGAAAGGAATCGGTACCATTTCGTGGCCATGGCACGTCGTACTGTGGTGATCCCAGGGGGAGGAGGTCGTAATGGTAGGAAAAAGAGAAGGGGCAGGGTCGTGTTTCCCATCGGCAGAAATGCTTTTTATTGTTGATTTTCTGTGGATTCGTTTTTCTGTTTCCAAGTCGGTTTGAACCCCGAGAGTCTCTCCCTCCCCCGTTCGACAACAGTTTTTAGAGGAAAAGTGAAGGAATTCTCGGTTTCTCGGATGAATTTTTGGCCCCTTGGGAAAAAATTACGGAAAAGTCGTAGGAGTTTGGGGAAGTTCAGGAAGAGGGTGTGCATGAGGTATGGGGGAAAAGGGATCGTACCAGAGGAGGAAATTTTGAAAGGGAAGGGGGGTCGTATATTGCGAAAAAAATAGTTGCTCAAGGCAGAAGGGGAGGACAAGTCATGTTCGTGGCTTCACAAGACTTTACAAGTCTTCATAAAATTACCCGTTTGTATCGACAGGGCTACGAATTCTCCCCCCCCACTCTCCCCGCGAGCGGAAACCCGGCTGCAGGCCAAAAATAGTGAATTTGGGAAATAGATTTACGTAAACGGAAGGAGCATAGGTTATTTTTGACAATTCTGCGATTTTTCTTCGGGCAGGAGTGAGCAAAGAATGGTCCCTCTCGTGGGAAAAAAATTCGGACAAATGGCGAAGGAAAATTCGGAAAAAGCTTCGAGGAAAAATGCGTAGAGGTGGTTAGGTATGGCGAAGGCGTTTCCAACTACAATGGTGTCGAATTTTGCAGGACATACGCCTGCACTGGCGGAACGTGCGTTGCTATCGTGGCCGTTATGACAGGCCTTTACAGGGAGATTAATTGTGAGTAATGTCGATAGTAACAGTAGCATGACGGAATCCCCCCAACCCTCATAGCGGACTTCCGCCAGAAAGTGATGAGGAAAAAAGATAAGTATACATGACAGAGCATATTCAGAAAAAGTAGTAAATATCGCTTACTTGTATCCCATAGTTCATCTTGATGAACCCATCAAGTGGAGTACTGTAGCAGAAGATTGGGAGGCTTGTCGAAAGGCGATTGATAACGAACTGGAATACGTGAAAGGGTGTCGGAATGCTCGAGAATGCCACTATTCTCGTCCAATTTCTCCCATCCTTGGTCAGCCGTAAAGAATTTCAGGAAAGGCGTCTTCGAGAATAATAGAACAATCAATAAAATCAATACGAAGACGAGACCCGCAATTGCCCACTGGGTGCTGGTGTCCATTACGCTGAAAAGCGGCATTTTCAATGATAAATGTATTGGGGGCACAGGCACGACATATTTCACCTAACGAAAAATTTTTTAGAAATAGAGGGGTACTGTAGAGTTGGCTCCAAGCCAAGATCGAGAGGAAAAGGTGGAAAAGGCAGAATTCTTTCGAGTCTGCTCTCAAGCAAATATCTATGTGTGCTAATGAAAATTGAATAGAAGTGGCATTGGCTTTCCCCCCTCTCCCCACTTTCTGAGATGAACTTTTCCAGACCTGCAGGCCGGCTTCCGTCTTGTTCAAATAAGCGGGATGAATTTTCAAAATGAATTGCGTTTTTCAGTTGGAATCCTTCCTTTGTGCGTGGTATTCCAGTTCATCAGACGAGGACGAAGGGGTTAAAAAAAGCCAATTAGGCGACGCTTCAAACAGCATTACCGTCCGTTGCCCATTACGCTAAATGAATAGATTATTTCAAGGCAAAAGAACAGCTCTCAAATACTGGGAAATCCGCATTTTTTCCGTTGACGGCATTGTCTGGGACAGCTGTTGTTCCCTTACATTCTCCTGTATTCTTCACCCATCACAAGAACGAAAGAACGAGTAAAGTTGTGAAGGACTCGGGAAACTCAAAAGAGGAAAATCCGCTGAAATTCCCACGAACGCATTTCCATGGACAATGTTCTTGGGAAGCTTTAGAGTTTTAGAATTTTCCAGGAACTTGCTCTGACTAATTGACGGTTAGGTTTCCTAGATACGTGCAGGGTAGGCGCTATTTGGCTT